TGAATTTAATAAACTGGTCTAGTCGACGATTCGATTGCGAGTGCTCCCATACCGGTGTACGGGTGCCGAGCTCACATTCGGAAAAAATACATATTTGACAATTCAGTACGTTCAAAAGGAATTCTAGTACAATTTTAAACATATATATATATAAGGATAGTGAGTATGTTCAGTTTCGAATTAAGTAATTCTATTACATTTCAAATATATTTATAAGATAAAGGTTAGCTAATTATTCATCATCATCCATGTCTTCGACATCACGCCCGGCCGGCCGCGTAGAAGCGGATACTAGCTCCTTCAGCTGGTTGATGATGTCTTGCGCTTTATTGAGCAGCTCACGCATTTTACGACTCCGGGCAGCGGTGGGACTTTGCAGACCTCGAGTACGCCGAATTGTCCGACGGCTAGCATAGCGAGTCCTCTCCCTACGTCGGATCGTTGACGACTTCGCCAGCGTTCGATGTAGCAGCGTGTGGTGCGCCCTACCACACTGATGACAGCTGGCTGGAGAGTCACAGGCACCGGTGACATGGGAGGTAGCCAGGCAGTTTACACAATATTTATGGACTCGGGCTGACTCATGCCTTTCAGCCGGCGTCATGGCGAGAAAAGCTTTACAGTAGCGCAATGAATGGGGGCGGCAACAAAGGCGACATTTGCTGAGCTCCATGGATGCTTCACTTGTCCTATGAAGAAATTAAATTTGAAACCAAACATTAGTTTTTTTTTGCGTAAATACGGAGGGAATGGGAGTGAAAATGTTCTGTGGTTAACCACAGAGTCTGTATATTGAGGTATAAAGAAAAGAGAATTTTGAATAAAGTTTGATTCGTTAAGCATCCATTGTGCTGGGTGGAGGTGGTAACAAGCATAATTTTGCGATGTTGCGTGTTATAATTCCCTTTTGGGTACGGATGTCAGCCACGCGAACGTTTTGGTCGGGACCGGGATAGAGCTTAACAATACGTCCGAGGCGCCAATCATTTGGTGGGAGGTTGTCTTCTTTGATGACGACGAGGTCTTCCACTGCGATATTGGGTTCTTTGCCTTTCCACTTATGCCGTTTGTGTAGCTCTTGCAAATATTCAGTTTTCCATCGGGTGCTGAATTGATGGTGAAGTACCTTGAGCTTCTGCCACTTGTTTGGAAGAGACAGGTTTTCTGCGTTAGGTTCTGGCAGAGAGACAAGTGGTGCTCCTCTTAAGAAGTGACCGGGAGTAAGAGGCTGTAAATCGCTAGGATCTTGAGACAAAGGCGACAGCGGTCTGGAATTGAGTACCGCTTCGATTCGTATGAGCAGTGTGGTGAATTCTTCAAACGTGAATTTGTGATTCCCCGCGACTTTGTTGAAGTGCGTCTTAAAACTTTTAACCGCTGCTTCCCACAGGCCTCCCATATGAGGAGCGTATGGTGGTATAAATTGCCAGGAGAGGCCATGAACGATATATTTTTCAGCGATATCTGAGGCGGCTTCCTTAAGAAAAGTGGAAAGTTCTCGGTGGATTGACCTTTGAGCGCCTACGAAAGTTTTCCCGTTGTCCGACATGATTTTATGGGGGAGACCACGTCGACCAACGAATCTGGCAAAGCAGGCCTTGAAGGCTTCTATTGTCAGGTCTGAGCAGAGTTCTAGATGTATGGCTTTGGTGGAGAAGCAGACAAACACGCATACATATGCTTTTGTGTGTGAGGCGCGACGCAGTAAAGAAGTTTTCACCAGGAATGGGCCCGCGAAGTCTATTCCCGTGGTGTGAAATGGTAGCGAGTAGGTTGCTCGTGCTGGAGGCAAGGCCGCCATTATCTGCGATCGCATTTCTCGCTTGTGTATGGTGCACACCTTGCAGTGGAAAATGCATTTTTTAACTTTCTGCTTAAGTCTTGGGACGTAATACTCTTGTTGTACCATCCGGACCATGAGCTGTTTTCCCGCGTGGAGTAGAGTTGTGTGGAGAAAATCTATGAAGAGAGAAAAGAACTTGGAGTTTTCGGGTATTATGATGGGGTGTCGTTCATTGTAGGTGAGAACGGCGTGCTTAAGGCGGCCGTTTACACGCATTACGCCACTTTTATCTAGCATGGGGTTCAACGATAGCAGCGAGCTTTTTTTATTTACCGGTTTCGCGGCTTCCAGTTGTGCGACCGCCTCTGCGTAATGATTGTGTTGGGCGCATATGATGAGCCGGGTTTTGACGTAACTGATTTCGTCCTGGGTGAGTGTGTGCGTCGTGGGTATTGGTTCCTTTCGTGCGCTGCGGATGAACCGATACACGTAAGCGATTACCCTAAGGGCGCGAGGAAATGACGAGAATCGAGTGAGAGGGTCTTCGTTCTCTATTGTGTGATAAGATTCCACAGATTTTTGTTCAGGGGGAAAGAGCGTTTGAGGCGCATTCTTTGGCCAGCTCGCTGAGGGTTTGGTGAGCCACTGAGGGCCATTCCACCATAGGGAACATGACGCTAGATCTTGTGGCTTGCATCCTCGAGTGCCTAAATCTGCGGGATTGTCTAAGCTCGATACGTGTCTCCATGTGGCGTTATTGACATTCTGCAAGATGAGGGAAGTTCGGTTCGCCACATATGTCTTCCATGTCCATGGTGGTTTTTCTAGCCAGGCCAGCACGATAGAGGAGTCTGACCAGAGTATGAGCTCATGGGTCGGCAGATTAAGTTGGGATCGAATATGCTTCACAAGTTTGGAGAGAAGGACCGCTCCACACAGTTCCAAGCGAGGCAGACTCACTGTTTGGAGGGGTGCGACTTTACTTTTTGCTACGAGCAAATGAGATGATGCCGAGTTTTCACAGTGTTCCACTCGGAGATAAACGCATGCGCAGAATGCTTTTTCGGATGCGTCTGAGAATCCATGGAGCTGAATGGTTTTATTAGGGGAAAACTGAACCCATCGCGGTATCCGTATTTCGCTGATGGCTATGAGGTTTTCTCGAAATGAAGTCCACTTGCGAAGCGCTCCGGGTTTGACGTTCTCGTCCCAATCGGTACCTTCCATCCAGAGTTGTTGGAGTAAGATTTTCGCCTGGATCATCATTGGCGATAGCCACCCTGCCGGGTCGAAAAGTTTCGCCACGGAGGACAAAATCTGTCTTTTAGTGGCTGCTGTGGAGTCTGGCAGGGGGTCAATAGAGTATGAGAATTCATCGTTGCGTGCATTCCATGTTACGCCGAGAGTTTTTGTTGAACCATGGAATTCAAGAAAGTTTGTTTGTAAGAGGTCTGGTTTAGGTATATTTTTGAGTAGATATTTGTGGTTCGCAGTCATTTTTTTTAATGGAAAACCTGCTGATTTTAACGCATCAGTTACCTGGGTCATTGACGTAAGTGCTGAGTCGAGGTCGTGACCCCCAGAGAGTATATCGTCAACGTATATTTCATTTAACAGTATTTCTGTGGCTTTTGGGTATTTGATGCTTGAGTCTTTAGCTAGTTGGTGAAGCGTTCTTATCGCGAGGTATGGCGCGCAATTGACACCAAAGGTAACAGTTTTT